AGCCGACAATCGACATGTTAAAAATATTATTCCCCAAAAGTATACCTAGCAAAAATACACTCAACCCGTCAACTCGACTTTAACCCTACTCATAAAAATAGATTATGATTTATATATTTCAACCTGTAATTCATAGATAACTCGTATTATTAACCTGTATAAGTCACATGTTGGGTTAGGATCAACTCGTAAGTTGATAGGTTGATCCATTTGTTTTATTTTTATTATTATTTTTAAATATTATACTTATTATTCTTAATTAATTTTATTATTATTAACTCCTTTCATTAATTCATACTTCCTAATTTTTAGAGAAAGATGAAGAAATTATGATGAGTTTAATTTAATTATCCAAGTATATATATATATATATATTTGGTATTAACAATTATTCAAGTATCATGAATGAAATGATAATACAACTAAAAATATTAAAAGAAGTGTTGTTAGGATATAAACATAATAACTTAGTGAAAGATGTTATTGGAAGAGTAATTTCATCATTAAAAAAATGACTTAAACTACTTGATAATGTTTCAAGATGATTATAAAATTAAAACTTTATTTTCCAAGAAATTTAAATATTTTGCGTTTAATATTGTTATTATTAATCAACTTATTATTATTTATAACTTTATGATTTTTTTTCTTAATTTAATTGTTTGTGGTTGAGACTATAAAGTACTTAGTTTTAATGAATCACAATACTTTAATTAGATTTAGAAATATATATAATTTTATTTGTATATAATAAAATTAATAAAAAATAATTATAAAAAATAAAAATAAAGTCAACCCATAAATTAACCCATAACCTATTAAAATTGAGTTAAAATCAAACTTTTTTAACTGATAACCTGTTTAAAACTCAATCTATATAACCTGTCATATGAATTAATACAACCCGAATCCGACCCAACATGCGCCTTTACCAAGTCTATCTAAAAGTACTTTAAAGGATGAGAACTGTTGGATGTGATGTATTTCATTATCGATTCAACTTGTAAATTTTAATTGTTTATTTTATA